TATTTGACAGAGAGAGACACAGCGAGAGAGGGAACACAAGCAGGGGGAGTGGGAGAGGAAGAAGCAGGCTTCCCGCAGAGCAGGGAGCCCGATGTGGGGCTTGATCCCAGGACCCTGAGATCATGACCCGAGCCGAAGGCAGACGCTTAACGACTGAGCCACCCAGGCACCCCCCTCTCTCACTGCTCTTACTCCTAGGGGACCCGGACTCTTTGCCTCTTCTTGAAGACCCCTGGTCCTATGTTTATCCCATTTTCTTTGACTAGAATGCCCCCGGGTTCCCAGGCCTGGTTAGTTCTGAAGTTAGCCCTTCTTTCTCTGAGTATTGTTGTCACTTCTGACACCTTTCCAAGATAATGATCTCATTATTCTGTACATTTCAGGTATGTGCGTACACCTCTTATTATCCCTGCTAGACTGGGTGTTCTCTGAGGAAAGGGATTATTTATATTTGCAATCTTCACAAGGGTCTCTTACTTCTAGTTTCTGATTTTTTGGATGAAAAGTAACCAAGTCTCAGGTTTGGATCGTTTCTTATATGATGACTGGAAAACTGGAGAAGAGTAGTGTGTATGTGTTCATTTTAACTTGTTTTGAACCTCTTTCTAAATACTGACTTAGGGGCACCTGGGTGGCTCAGTCATTAAGCATCTGCCTTCGACACAGGTCATGATCCCAGGGTCCTGGGATCCAGCCCTGCTTCGGGCTCCCTGCTCGGTGGGAAGCCTGCTTCTCCTTCTCCCGCTCCCCCTGCTTGTGTTCCCTCTCTTGATGTGTCTCTCTCTGTCAAATAAACAAATAAAATCTTTAAAAATAAATAAATACTGACTTAATCTAGGGTTGTAGGTAGTTAAGGAAAACGAAATGTTCTTTCTTTGTTCTTTGTGTTGTTAAGGCACTGTTGGGAGCTATTTTAAAAAGCATGGGGATAGCTAGAAGGCAGTAGGGCTGGTAGATGAAAGTAATCTTTTCTAAACTCAAACTGACACGGGAACAGTTAAGTCTGATTTGTGAGCTACTGAAGTGTCATCTTTTATTCTTCTCAAAGACCTTAACAACTTGAAGGTGAGAACAAAGAGAAGGAAAGAAATGGAGGCTCATTTATTTTTCTTGATATAGAAATTGATGTTCATCAAAATCTTCTCTCTAACAACTTGTGATGATACAATTGATGGGTCATAAAAATGTTCACCGAATTTTGACATATTGGGTCAAATTTTTATTTTATTTCTGGTGGATTTTGGAATTCAGCTCTCTTTCTGTGGACAGGATTGTGCCCCACTACTTCACATGGGGGTCTTCATGGCCACTCACTTCTACCACAATTTGCGATAATATCCCAGGTCTTTTCCCACTTTATTTTATTATGAATGTGTGGATCTAATGCTCCATTTTGTTTATTCACAAAAAAATGTTTTTCCTCACTAAGGTACAAGAAGGGGGAAATACTAATTCATATGCTATTCTAAGAATTGAAACACGTTCCCACTTCTGGTAGAACTGAATAGTAGTTTGAACTGCAGAAAGTAAAAATGGGGAAAAAATCAGAGAATATGACAAAGTATTTATTATGCTTTTTTATTGCAACCACGGAGGGAGGGCATTAGTATTTTCTTACCATTTCAGAGACAAGTATCACAAGAAAGTCATTTATGTATTCTTTTTTTAAAAAAAAGGTTTTATCTATTTATTTGAGAGAGAGAGAGAATGAGAGAGAGAGAGAGGGCACAAGCAGGGGGAAGGGTAGAGGGAGAAGCAGACTCCCCGTTGAGCAGGGAGCCCGATATGGGACTCGATCCCAGGACCCCGGGATCATGACCTGAGCCAAAGGCAGATGCTTAACTGACTGAGCCACCCAAGTGCCCCTCATTTATGTATTCTTGGTATCTACTTTTCCTGTTCATTCATTCATCCATCAAATGTTCCCTGAATACTACTCTATGTCAGGTAGAGCTCTGGGCACTGGCATTCAATAAGGGGTTCTTAATTGATGGGGTAATATCCCACTCCCACTCTCATCTTTACCCACTACATGATATCCAGCACTAATCGTGGAGTGCTAACATTTTATTTTCTGCCTGCTTTCACAATGTTTTGTATAGTACCTGTGTGACAAAGTGATTCTCAGAAATTTATTATGATGTGAAGACATGTAGGCCCAATGCATATTGAACCTTCTGTTACCAATGCCAGGAGGGCAGCCATTTCAAATAAGGATTTCCATGGAAAGTAATACAGTAGTTCTGTTTCCATTGAGAATGTGAGTCTCCCTATGACAGGGGACTCCTGTCTTGTCACTAGCAGCTGCCTTACTTAGAGAGAACAGTTACCAGCAGGACAACTACCACATACATCACAGGAGTTGGAAAATGTCAGTTTTTTCCATACATGTGACAAAGTAGTTGCCTTCTATATACGTCTTGTTTGAGTACTGAGCTTTCATTATTTCTACCTCCTGAGGTCACCGAGAAGTCCCTCCTCTGTCCCCAGACTCCACATTTTATTTGGTCTCTTTTAATAGCTCTTGACTGATTGATTGCAAGAACCTCTTAACTAGTTGGACTGCTTTTTCCCTGCCTGAGTGCTTTTTTGAGAAAGCTGATCTAATCATACCTTTCTCCAGCTCTAAGTCTCCAGTGGCTTTTCAAGGCTCACCTGAGCTACGGAACCTCCCCAGACCTACCTTCTTCCCTCTCCCTGAAAGCGCCGAGCTAGATCACTCTGTCACTTGTTTATTCCCATATGGCTCTCTCTGTACCTTGCATGTAGAACTTACTACACAGCAATACAGTCATTCATAACTCTGTCCTCCTCCCTTAGACTTTGAGCGTGTTGAGGACAGAAGAGTACGCCCTGTTTATCTCTGCTCTTCCAGCACCGTGCCTGGCATGAAACAGCTAATACTTACGTGTGGAATTGAATTAAACGAGTACACTGGAAGCTCTCAGTGAGGTCCTAAAGAATTTTACAGAAAACACTGAATTCTTTTTATGTCTTACAAATTTGTACTTTTTCCAGCAACTACCCGCTCCTTGGTAGTATATTCCAAGTTTAAATAATAAGTCAGCCTATAGTAATTCACCGAATTCTGTATCTTTTTGCTCTTGATGAGGCACAGTTGATCACTTACTGTATGACAGACTTTAGAAGAAGTAGACGCAGCTATCAGATAGCCCCCAGCTATGCCCATTTTGTCCCATTTCTCCTTCCCAGCATTTATAAAAATATGAAATAAATAATTTTGAGGCCATTCTTCCTTGGGCAATTCATTCCAAAAACCTATGGATTGAAACGGATGTTTTGAGCTTGGGATCAATCCGAATTATAGTGAATGCCACAGTACGTGTAGGATCCAAAGGAAGCCCATCTCCTTGGTTTTCCCCACAGAAGAGGGAAGTGAACTTCCTAAAGACTCTGTGTTGAGAGAAAATGATCTCTGTATGTTACGTACTAGGGCTCACTTAGTGAAAAATTATTTCTCAGACAAGACTTGGTTCTGTTTTGAATTCACCTCACCTTTCCACTTACATCTTCCTTTTTTTCTGTTCAATTTTTTTTTTTTTTTTTTTAGAGCTTCTCCTGAGCCCTGGTCACCATGGCCCTTGAACATCTAGGACTCACATTTCTTCCTCCACCTATCTGTGCTGTCTACAGGCCATCCGGAAATCCCGATTCAAGCTAAGGTATTCATGGATGGATGGATTGTTTCTCTAAAGAGATTTTACACCTTTAAAAGGACTCCTGGGCAAGAAAATGCCCTCGACCAAAGGAGCAGAGCCTCCCATTTGCAGATACGCAGACACTGTCACAGACTAAAGCAAGAAAAATTTCATACGCATCTTGGATCACATCACAGAGGCACTGGGACTGAGAGAGCTTTATGCTTTCACAGAGGTTGTGGGAGATTCAGCGTGATGTGAAAGACAAGAGGATCCATCAGACATTCCTAACATGAGAGTTCACGTTACCGGTTTTCAAACTGTATTCCTCAGTACTTAGAGAATCTGTGGAAGAACTTCAGAGGTCGCCAGGGTGGAATGAGAGGGAGACCCAGAGAACAAGTCGGTGTGTCTCATGCCTGGGGCCCCCGTGTGAACTAATAATAGTTGACTAGTAATAATAGCATTAATATTATTGGACTACTAACAGGATAATAGTACAGTACCACTATTCTATTCTAAAACATTTGGTTTTAAATTAAGGTCATTTAAAGATAAAAAGAGTTTTCCTTCTCCAAATTGGGTCGACAACGGCTATTTAGGCTCACATGCCCTGCACCCAGGAATCCCTGGTGAAACGTACTCAGCTGTTGCTACCTCAGCGGGGGTTACGTCTCGGACAGTTCAGCCCTAAAATGCAGAGGGTAGGGTTTAAGGAGATGGAATATTTTGTTACAGAGACAGGAGAAACAGATAAGACTGAGGCACGAAAGTGGGCATGACTGGAGGTGAGATTAAGGAGTGTTGAAGACAGATTGGCCTGCTTCATGGTTTTGCCTCTGATGGGCCCTGCCAATGATGTTAGGCCTCAGGCTTTCAGGACTGAGAGATGTAACACCCATGTCTTGTTAACTGATCACATCTGCTATCCTTTCAGCACCCCTGAGGGTATCAGAATGATAGCTCATTCCTAACCTCACTACAAACAGGTACATGTCCAATCATTTATGAAAGAGGACACCACTATGACAGTCCCCTGACAGAGTGACTGGGAGATGCTGAATTCCTTCCTGTATCCACGCTCTTCTGCCATGTAACTTTGCATGTCCTCTCAGTGCAAGAGGAATATACTTCCATGCCTCTGAATTCGGAGCTTGGCCACATGACTCGCTTTGGTCAGCGGGATGTGGGTGGAAACGACATTGTACCCATGCCAAGTTGAGGCCGGACAAGGCCTTGTGTGTTCTGCTTACCCTCGGCACTTCTGTCGTCACCATGAGAAGACCACGGTCCAGCCAGTCTGTTCACTGATCCACTGAGGTCGAGGGATGTGTTGAGCAGAGCTGGTTCCAACCTGCAGCTTGGAGCCATCTAGTTAAGCCCAACCAAGATCAGTTTGAGCCACTTCGCCTGATAGGCAAATCTGCGAAAAATAAATGTTTAGAGTTGTAAACCACTGAGATTTTGTGATTGCTTATTATACAGCAAGAACTGGCTGATATCATAGGTAAGAGCTTGATTTTTCTGTCAGAGCAGAATTTGGACAAACCCCCTAAGGATTCAGCATTCTCATCTGTAAAATGTATATAATTATCACTATACCACAGTCTTATAGGCACTAACTAAAATAGTATATGTAAAATACTAGGTAGATGCCTCACTATTAGTATTATTATACCTCCAGTTGTAAAGATACTTTGGGATTGAGAAATACAGTGAAGTAGGACACGTGTAGATTTCAAGATAGGGATTAGATATTAGAATACATGGTAGTTTAAAGAAAGGCATTTATTCTGAAACCTGGGGCAAATAAATCCTTTTTCTTTTTTTTTTTAAGATTTTATTTATTTGTTTGACAGAGAGGGAACACAAGCAGGGGGAGTGGGAGAGGGAGAAGCAGGCCTCCCGCTGAGCAGGGAGCCCGATGCGGGGCTCGATCCCAGGACCCTGGGACCACGACCTGAGCCGAAGGCAGGTGCTTAATGACTGAGCCACCCAGGCGCCCCAATAAATCCTTTTTCTTTAGTTTAATGACTCTTAAACGTCATAAATTTACTACCTGAGGAGATGAATAATTGACCTGGAAATACTTTTCTATTAAAGGGAAATAAAAACATGACTTTACCAACATCACTTGGTGTATAAAGTGCTATTAGTCACATGCTGTAGTTAGCACATTTGACTTGTTTGTGACCAAGAGTTCAGGCGAATACATTTGAGATTTATTTTGTAATTTCTGACATGCCAATATAAAACAGCTTTTTTTTTTTTTTGCTCCTCATTGCCATCAGGTTGGAATAAATTGGCTCTTGATGCAAAGTTGTGGCCAAGGTTGAAATTTACATGTGATTGATGGTCCCCCCCCCCGCCGCCGGCTTCTGGTGTATCACCTCCTGGACTGGGACCTGTTTTGTGTAAAATATTGAGATACTCACTGGTCTCTCTGCCCCTCACATGCACTTGAAAGTATAGAAAAATAGTTGACTAAACGGATTGTTAGAAAAGAAAAAAGCCAACTCCTAATGGATAAACATGTTTTGTAAAATATATTTTTTTTGAAATTTAAACATTTTAATTGAATTATTATACATATATTCATATGGAATTATTGTATATAAAGTACCCAATGAATGTATTAATTAAATAATTTGACTGCTAAATGATCAGGAACTTGAAAATATCGTTGTTATGTAGTACTTCTGTAAATAACCAAGATTTCATTTTATTCAAACCAGAAAAACATTGGTATAGGCAAAAATGTGCAAAGCTATACATTATCATGGAGCATGTTAAATTAAATATACTTTGGGCACTCCTTTCCATTTACTGTCTTTTGTGAAACCAGTTTTCTGTGGTCCAATTTTATGGTACAAAAGATTTAGTAACTTTCCCAAGGTCACAAAAGCCTCGTTACTTGCTGAGATGTTGACTAGCCATTGCTTATTATTAAAATAATGAACTCTGTGGTCATTTCAGTCATTAGAATTACTTAGTCTGATTGATTCATGAATCACAAATCAAACATTTGGTGATTAACTATTTTAATAACTGAGGCAGTTTCCAAATACTCATGCTGGTTTTACCATGTCCTTTTTGTTTATAGGGCAAGAACTTAGTTATCTTAGTTCAATGGTATGACCACAAAACTTTCTTAACTATGAATACTTTTGATCTTTTATTTCTTTTTTCTTTTTTTTGTATTCTTCTATTTTTATTTTTTTATTATGTTATGTTAGTCACCATACATTACATCATTAGTTTTTGATGTAGTGTTCCACGATTCATTGTTTGCATATAACACCCAGTGTTCCATGCAGAACGTGCCCTCCTTAATACCCATCACCGGGCTAACCAATCCCCCCAACCCCCTCCTCTCTAGAACCCTCAGTCTGCTCCGCTGAGGGACATAAAATATAGTTCTAATTATTGGGTCTTCATGTATGGAATCTTAACATGTTATTTCCTAACAGATTAGAAAATCAATAGGGGTTCAACCAGCTTTTAGCAGCCAGTTCAAGTTTTCTTGCAGGGATTTAAGAATGGATACACAATCCCAGGAGTGAAGGTGCCCTCTTTCCTTACCATGGCAATTCCCCTTTGTTGAACTTGCATTTCCACAAAGACGAAACCCACAGGGACTGCAGCAGGTCTGCGAGCAGCTGTGAAGAGCCTTATGGCTGCAGTAAAACCAAGATGCCTTGGACTTGTCTTGGCTTTTTTCACTTTGGTAAAACTAGTAAAAATGCTCGGACCTCTTATTTTTTCCTTCGATACACCTGTTTGTGTGTGCGCAGCATGAGTAGATCACTATACCTGCGTGGATTCCTCCAAAAGATAACCCTGAGACAACGATTTGGGCATATGTGGTTTATGAGTGGGTGACCCCAGGGAGCGTGGTGAAGGAGTTAGGAAAAAAGAAAAGAAAAGGTGCATTAGGGATTTATTTATTTGAGAGAGAGAGAGAACAAGCAGGAGGGGCAGAGGGAGAGGAAGAGAGAATCTCAAGCAGACACCACGCTGAGTGTGGAGTCTGACCCGGGTCTTGATTGCACGACCCCAAGATCATGACCTGAGACAAAAGCCAAGAATCGGTCACTTAACCCACTGTGCCACCCAAGGTGCATTAATGAGCAAGCTACTGTTGTGGCAAACTGCAGTTCAGTCCTGCTGGGCCCCCCCCGGGAGGCCACGTAGAACACAACTCAAAATTGTCTCACCGATCATTTACAAAACTTAGGTATTTCTTCCTTTGTGGCCTCCCTCCTGGCTGAAAGTAGCTCATGGGGGGTGTTAACCTTCAGGCACTTCCAGGCTGTGCCGCACAAGCAGGTCTCATTTCTGCAGCCAGAGATCGATCTCAGGCAGAGAAGGCACGGACTGTCGAACTGTCCACCCACGTGCAGCCGACTGCTGGGGTCGGCAGAAGGAACAGGGGGCAAAATCACCAAGAGCATCCACTATAGGCCCTAAGCGGGTGTCCTCTCTTTTTATTTAAAGTTCAAAAAAACAAGTCCAAGTCTTTCATGTTACATGAATTTCAAAGGTAAATATTTTTGTTTTAAATGATGAGTGTATAGAAGGAAATACTTGCAGTGTCCTACTTATTTCTATAAGCAGGGTTTTATTCTCTCAATTAAACTCCTTTGTCCTTATCGGTATGGGGAATATAGTTATAAGGTAAAACTGAGAATTTTTTCTCACAGCCAAAAGCCAAAATGAGAAAAATTCATTTTATCGTCAAAAACAAAGATTTCATAAGGGGTTTTTTTGGTTGTTTTTTCCCATTTTATTGGGCTTCCCAGTCTTATTCTTAACTTTTGGGATTTTTGTTGCGAATTCTTACCACAAGATGTCACTATTTTACCAGCCTAGTATCTGAATGCTTTTCTGAAACCCTTTAAAACTCTCTCCTGCTGGTTTCAATGACTTATTGAAACACATCCACTAACGTTGTCAAATTTTTTCTCATAGGGGAAGTTATAAATTTCCCTTGGAGAGTGGTGGTTCAAGATGGTGGCATAGGAAGGCCCTGAAACTCACTCCTTCCCATGAACACACCCAATCTACAGCGACATATAGAACAATTCTCTCTGAAAAAAACCTGAAAACTAGCTAAACAGCTCCTCCATAGCAAAATATTAAAAGGCCACATTGAGACAGGGAGGAGAGGCAGAGACTTGGTATTACCAAAGACCCCACCCCCAGGGTGGCTACCCACAAGTGCGAGGAATCATACAAATACGGAGTACATCCCTGAAGAGCAAGGGGTTTGAGCCCCATATCAGGCATTCCAACCTTTGGGACCTGCACTGCAGAAACAAGCCCCCCTCTCCAAATATCTGGCTTTGAAAACCAGTGGGGCTGACATCTAGGAGATCCAAAGGAAACTGAGACTCTGCCCTTAAAGGGCTTGCACACAAACTCACTGGCCCTGAGACCCCACACAAAGACAGCCGGTTGAAAAGTGCCTAGAACATATGTGAAGGATATTCAGTGGCTAAGCCCAAAGCATCTGCCTGAGGGGCAGGGGTCTATTGGAGCTCACTCCAGGCATGGAGTTAATAGTGGATACCATTTTTGCACTCTCCCTGTACCTTGCTAGCACTGCTTGCAGGTACACTCCAGTTTGGAACACTCCTGTGGGCCTGCTGAAAAAATGGTAAATTCCTGGGGCGCCTGGGTGACAAGGTCAGTTGAGCGTTGGACTCTTGGTTTCGGCTCAAGTCATGATCTTGGGATCGTGGGATCGAGCCCTGAGTTGGTCACCATGCTGAGTGTGGAGTCTGTTTGAAATTCTCTCTCCTTCTCCCTCTGTCCCTCGTGCTTGTGCGTACTCTCTCTCTAAAATAAAAAAATTAATCTTTAAGAAAAGAAATGGTAAATTCCTAGAAACATACAATCTTCCCAGACTGAATGATGACAAAATAGAAAATCTGAATAGACCAATCATCAGCAAGGAGATTGAATCCGTAATCAGATACTTACCAACAACCAGGACCAGACAGCTCAATGGTGATTTCTACTAAACATTTAAAGATTTAATATCTGTTCTTCTCAAATTTTTTTCAATACATTTCCCATTTTTATTGGGCATACTCATATACACAATGTATTTTATTTTATTTTTTTCAAAATGTCTTTTAAAATGGCTTTTACCATGTATCATTTTATCACCTGGTTTACAATTAAATATGTCGTGAACATTTTCTCTTTTACAAGAGTTAAAATACTTGCAAAGTATGGAGAAAACATAATTTATTAAGCTCTCTTGTTGGGGAAAGTTAGAATTTTTTTCCAAGGAGACTTCATTCTTTTTACAATGCACTGAGAAAAAAGGGGATGTCCTTGTCTTCTATAGCTTTTTACAGATGATAGAAACTTGCCTTTCAACTTAGCTTTTTGACTTGCTTCTCATGCTCATCTGATCACCAACCAAGTAATCCATTTTATTTTTTCCAATCTCTCTCCCATTTGCTTCCTCTTTTCTATCTAGCCTCCTTGGCGCACGTGCACAAACACACACACTTCCAGTACTTCAGAATCCTGTCCCTCACCTCTAATATCTGCCCCCTGCCCTCTCATCTGCTCCCTTTAAGGGGCTTCCTTTCTTTTCCTTTTAAAGATGAGGTCTTAATTGATTTTGATCAACTCTACTCCAAGCTTTATACTCAGTTCCACATTAGGAGTAGTCTTTAATAATCTAAAGAAAGAATTCAGTTGTTAAAGGAAAATAATAATAAGAAACCCTTGGTAGAAATACATGTATCAAGAAACATAGAACTTGGTCACAACGTAGATAAGGCTGACTTTTTTTTAAAGAAGTTTTTCGGAGAGGGCAGGGAGAGGAAAGTAGTTGGTACTTGAAGGCAATGTTAGGGACCATTATGAAAATCTATTCACTATTTCAGGGCAACTAACAAATGATCATCTCTCAGTAACAATACTGGAGCTACAGCCTTTATAGGTCCTGAAATGTGCATGACTGATAGTGCAAGCAAGTGTTCATCAATAGTAACTTTGCAGAGCAAGGCAGATGCCAGCTGGCAAAAAAGTGGTGCCCGAAGACAGTATGTTAATTCTGGAGCCCTGGAAACCAGGAAGTGCTCATCCATCACGTGGCCATCCGAAAGGGCAAAAGAGGGGACGACCCGCTTGCCACGACCTGGTAGAAATGTCTGAGGAAAGCAGTGAAGCTGGCCATGCCAGCATTTACACATGGAACATTTCTTGGGCAGCCAGGGGTCATGGGACACAGACTCACGGTTCTCTTTGCCCCAATCATGCTCACAGTTCCAGCCATAGGAGGAGGGGGGGCAGGCACAGAAGGACAAAAGCGTGCCAGTTCCCCCACTCAGACAGTAGGTTTTGTTTAGCTCCTTAGTGTCCTGGATTCCTATGGACAGCACAGACTGGAAAGGCCAATGACAAACAGCAGGCTCCTGCTGGGACTGAATGCTGTCATCTCTTAAGGCCATGTCTCCCTGAGAGGGAAGTGCAAATTCACAGTAGCCCAGCCCAGCAACTAATTCCAGTTCAGCGGCTTTGGAAATGGCCATGATCAAAATCACGCTGGAGGAGAGGCGCCCCATCTTTCTGTGGTCCATAGCTCTTTAGCTGGGGACTCGGCCTTCCTGGGGACTCTCCCTCCTCAACTGTTCTTCTCAAACATTTCCAAGAAAAACTGAAGAGGAGGAAATGCTTCCAAACTCATGTTACGAGGTCAGCATTACCATGGCACCAAAATCAGACAAGGACATCCCAAGAAAGGAAAACTGCAGACTAACATCCCTGATAAACATTATGAAAAATCCTCAAAAATATTAGCACACTGAATTCAACAATACCTTAAAAAGATCATATAAAACCACAATCAAGTGGGATTCATTCCAGGATACAAGGATGTTTGAACATGTGAAATCAATTGACATGATACACCACATTAACAGAATGAAGGATAAAAATCATATGATAATTTCAGTAGACACAGAAAAAGCATTTGATAAAATTCAACTTCCACTTATGATAAAACTTTCAACAAAGCAAGTATATAAAAAATATATCTCAACATAATAAAGGCCACATATGGCAAGCCCACAGCTCACATCATAACCAACAATGAAAAGCTGTAAGGTTTTTCTCTAAGATCAGAAGTAAGACAAGGATGCCTACTCTTTCCACTTTTATTCAACATAATATTGGAAGTCCTAGTCAGAGCAATTAGGCAAGAAAAAGAAACAAAAGTCATCTAAAATGGAAAGGAAGAAGTAAAACTGTTACTATTCATAGTCAACGTGATCTTATATGTAGAAAACCCTAAAGACTCCACCCAAAACTGTGAGAATAAACAAATTCAGCAAAGTTGCAAGATACAAAATCAATATACAAAAATCCGTTGCATTTTATACACTAACAATGAACTATCAGAAAGAGAAATTAAGAAAACAATCTCACTTCCAATTGCATCAAAAACAATAAAATACCTAGAAATAAATTTAACGGAGGAGGTAAAATACCTAGATACCGAAAACTACAAGACACTGATAAAAGGAACTGAAAAGACAGAAATAAATGGAAATATATTTGTGCCCATGGATTGGAAGAATTAATATTGTTAAGATGTCCATACTACCCAAAGCAATCTACAGATTCAATGCAATTCCTATCTAAATTCCAATGACATTTTTCACAGAAACAGTACAAACAATCCTAACATGTTTATGGAAACACAAAAGGTCTCAAATAGTCAAAGCAATCTTGAGGAAGAAGAACAAAACTGGAGGCATCATGCTCCTTGATTTCAAACCATTGTACATAGCTCTAGTTACCACAACAGTGTGGTATTGGCGTAAAAACAGACACGCAGACCAATGGAACAGAATAGAGACTCCAGAAGTAAACCCATGTACATGCGTTCAATTAATTTACAACAAAGGAGGCAAGAATATACAATAGGGAAAGATGTAAATGGTGCTGGGAAAGCTAGAGAGCCACATGCAGAAGAATGAAACTGGATCACTATCTCACACTATACACACAAATTAACTCAAAATGGATTAAAAACTTGAATGTAAGTCCTGAAACCATAAAACTCCTAGCAGAAAATATAGGCAATAGGCTCCATGACATCAGTCTTGGTGATAATTCTTTGGATTTGACACCAAAGCAATGGCAACAAAAGCAAAAGTAAACAAATGGGACTACATTAAAAAGCTTCTGCACAGCAAATGAAACCACCAACAAAAGAGAAAGGCAACCTACACAATGGGAGAAGATATTTGCAAATCACATATTCAAAAAGGGTTAATATTCAAAATATACAAAAAAACTCATACAACTCGATATTAAAAAACCCAATTAAAAATGGGTACAGGATCTGAAGAGACATTTTTCCAAAGCAGACATACAGATGGCCAATAGACACATGAAAGATGCTCAACACCACTCATCATCAGGGAAATGCAAATCAAAACCACAATGAGATATCACCTCACTCCCATCAGAAAGGCTATTATCAAAAAGACAAGAAATAACAAGTGTGGGTGAGGATATAGAGAAAAAGGAACCTTTGTGCACTGTTAGTGGGAATTTAAATTGGCGTAGCCACCGTGGAAAACTGTATAAAAGTTTCTCAAAAAAACTAACAATAAACTACCATATGATCCAGCAATTCCATTTCTGGGTATTTACTCAAAGAAAACAAAAACACTCATTCAAAAAGGTGCATGCACCCCTATGGTCACTGGAGCATTATTAACAATAGCCAAAACATGGAAGCAACCTAAGTGTCCATCAATAACTGAATGCATAAAAAAATGTGGTGTGTACACACACACACACACACACACACACACACACACACACACTCTGGAATACTACTTAGCCATAAAAAAGAATGAAATCTTGCCATATGTAACAACGTGGAGGGACCTTGAGGGCATTATATTAAGTGAAATCAGTCAAAGATAAATACCATATGATTTCACTGATATGTAAAAATCTAAAAACCAAATGAACAAGTAAAACAAAATTCACAGATCCAGAGAACAGACTGGTGATTGCCACAGTGGAGGGGTTTGGAGGTTTAGGTGAAATGAGAGAAGGGAGTCAAGAGGTACAAACTTCCGGTCTAAAATAATTAAGTCATGGGGAGGTAACAAACAGCACGGTGAGTATACTCAACAATATTGTATTGCATATTATGTAACTTTGTATGGTGACAGGGGAAAACTGGACCCATTATGGTAATTATTTCACAGCTTATACAAATACTGAATCATTATGCTGTTCCTCTGAAACTAATATAACATATGTCTATTATATCTCAACATATAAAAAAGATATTTTGGTTTAAGGGAAAAATTTTCACTTGAAGAAAGATTAAATTACAAATGATCTGGTCATCTTTCACCAAATCCAGAACCTTCCAGAGACTTTGAAATAATCACCCCACCACCATGCACATTGGGCAGATACAATTATCATCGTTAACTTATTTTTCTTTTTCATTATCTGCTTCATTCTATGCTTTTAAGATTTACAAAACCATCTTTTAATTCATCACTTCTCAAATATTTCAAATACACTTGATCCTTGAACAATATGTGGGTTAGGGGTGCCAACTCTCCGTGCAGTCTGAAATCCACATATAATTTTTGACTCCCCCAGAACGTAATTACTAATAGCTTGCTCTCGACCGGAAGCCTTACTGATAACACAAATGGTTGATTAACACATTTCTCGTATGTTATATGTATAATTTGCTATATTCTTAAAATAAAGTGAGCTAGAAAAAAGAAAACATTGTCAAGAAGATCATAAAGAGAAAATACAGTACTGTATTGTATTTATCAATATTGGAAATCTATATTATCTGTTCACAAGATGAATCATCTGTGAGTACCTACATCAATATTATCTGCTATGATATAAATCAGTACGGATGTTATATGTATTATTAACGTGAGACACTAAAAATGAAAAGATAATGTGAAAAGGAAATTCATATTTATTTACAGGTATAACACTTCATGCATTGATAATGCAGAAGCAGCAATAGGACTGCTGTCCGGTAGGCTACTGTAATTGATACAATTGCTTCACGGTAGCCTCGCCTACACACTAATGAATGAATTGTCATAAAATTTTTATGGCATGCACTATTACAGTCATATTCATAATATAATATTGGAAATAGTTATTTTAAAAAAAACACTCATCTGTGATGAAAGGCTGAAATGTTTCTCCAATCATGAGATGCATCTTGTATGTTAATGTAGTTCTTTGAAAGCAAAGTTAGAAAACAGTAAGAAAATGAACACATTATTAATTTTATATTAAATATCACTCACCTTATGCCTATGGAAGGGTAGGCTAACCACGTCCATACACGACTTACACACGATGTTCTACACTTAGGCAATGATGATGGTGAAGACACAAAATGTCCCATACATTTCTTGCTGTACAGTTGTGAGATTTTCATATGAAGACACTCAACACACCTACACAACAGATAAGTTTATTTACTATATGGCGTGATGATTATTTACCATTCATTAAGTGGAAGTGGACCATCACAGAGGTCTTCATCCTTGTCTCTTCACACTGAGTGGGTGGAAGAGGAGGAGGAGGAGGAGGAGGGGTTGGTCTTGCTGTCTGAGAGGTGGCAGACGAAGAGGTTGAGGTGAAAGGAGGGGCAGGAGAGGCAGGCAAACTCAGTGTAACTTTATAGAAACACATGGCACTACATTTGTATCTTTGGGGTAAATACCCAGTAGTGATCTGAAGGGGCACCTGCACCCCAGTGCTCATAGCAGCAATGTCCACAACAGCCAAACTGTGGAAGGAGCCGAGCTGTCCATCAACAGACGAATGGATAAAGAAGATCACACAATGGAATATTACTCAGCCATCAGAATGGATGAAATCTTTCCATTTACATCGACGTGGATGGAACTGGCGGGTATTATGCTGAGTGAAATAAGTCAATCAGAGAAAGACAATTATCATATGGTTTCACTCATATGTGGAATATAGGAAACAACACAGAGGATCGTAGGGGAAGGGAGGGAAAACTAAATGGGAAGTCATCAAAGAGGGAGAAAAACCATGAGAGATTCTTAACTCTAGGAAACAAACTGAGGGTTGCTGGAGGGGAGGTGGGTGGGGGAATGGGGTAACCGGGTGATGGGCATTAAGGAGGGCAGGCGATGTGATGAGCACTGGGTGTTATATGCAACTGATAAATTGTTGAACACGATGTCTGAGACTCATGACGTACTATATATTGGCTAATTGAATTTAAAAAGATACATGGCAATTTCTGTCTGACTTTTTTGCTGTTTCATTTCTCTGAAAATGTTTCTATATGGTACCAATCCTTCCACTGTGCACTTTAGTCACAGTGCCCACATCATAGAGGGGTCCTTCTGCCAGACTGTCTAATGTCCGTTTGTTTTCTGCTCTGCTACCTCCAGGTCTTCTTCTCCGTCGTCTGGCACTCCTTGGGGAGCACTCATCTCCATCAAGTCATCTTCTGTTCACTCCTCTGGTGTGGTGTCTGTTAGCTCTTGAACTTCTCCAAGACCCATATCTCGAAACCCTTCACATCCCAACTTTCTTGCCATAGCTACACTCTCATTCATGATTTCCCTGACTGGCTCTTTAGAAATCCTGGGAAGTCATGCAAAACATCTGGACACAGTTTTATTCAGCAGGAGTTTATTGTTTCAGACTGATGGCTTTCGTGGATTTTCCTACAACGATGGCATCTTCAGTGGTGTAATCCTTCCAGACTTTCATGATGTTCTCTCTGTCTGGGTTCTCTTACATAGCATTGACAATCCTTCCCATAGAGTATGTGTGTAATGAGCTTTAAAGGTCTTTATGACCCCCTGATCTAGAGGCTGAATTAGAGAGATTGTGTTTGGGGGCAAGTAGACCACTTTGATGCCTTTGGTGTTGAACTCATGGGATTCTAGGTGACCAGGGGCACCGTCCAATGTCAAAAGAACTTTAAAAGGCAATACCTTAAAAGGCAGGGTACTTTCTGACTTCAAGGACAAGCATCGATGGAATGAATCCAGAAAAACTGTTCTCGCTGTCCAGACCTTCTTGTACAACCCACAGACTGGCAGCTGATGTTCATCTGTTCCCTTCAAGGTTCTGGGGTTAGCAGCTTTATAGATAAGGACAGTCCTGACCATAAACCTGATTGCATTTGCACAAAACAGTAGTTAGCCTATCCCTTTCTGCCTTGAATCCTGGTGCTCGCTTCTCGTCCTTATTAATAAATGTCCTTTATGGCTTTTTTTCCAGAATAGAGCACCTTTGTCCGCATTAAAAACCTGTTCAGGCAGATATCCTTTCTCCTCAATGACTTCCTTCCTTCCTTCCTTCCTTCCTTCC